CAGGTGATCTCAGTGGGTCAGATAATAGGGAAAGGCAAGGCCTCACAATGGTTTCAACCGAAGCCTCTGCTGATAGTGACCTTTTTTCGCACCTTGCGGCGTGTTGTGAGGCACGAGATCAAGTTAGTTTTAGAACTGAAGAAGCTTCTCAGATAAGATGTGAAACGTCTTCAAGTAATTAAGAAGTCCAGTCACTTTCTTTCCAAGCCATTTAGATCATTGTCTCAGATTACAAACAGTAAATTGTAAAGGTCACAAAAATAATGTTTGTAAGGTTTTACCATGATTGTGCACCAGCTGCCACCTTTTGTAATAATTTGAAACATGTTGATCCTAAGATGATACATATTGCTAAATTCATCACCAAACACCACCATAACGTGTTGTGTTAGTGCTTGAAAAAGATCTGCTGTGTTTACCTCGTTGATTAGCATTGCCACATAGCATTCCACTAAAGATGCTTTTTCACACTGATTTGTTTAACTCTCTTTCAGTTACTGTATGTAGCCAAGAGTAGATTAAAAAAGTATGGTTCACTCTTAGCTTTGACCGGTACCTGTAGGGCTCTTGAGATTTGGCAGGTGGGTGAACCACAAGATTTAGTTTATCAGTGCAGGGAAAAATTATTCTCAAATTAATATTTGCTTTGAACTTGAGTAACAGCAAGAAGAGATTTAGACAAATGAGGAATTGCAAGAAACATTACTAATATAGCTTCAAACAGTCATGGAAAGCTGTTACATTATTAAAACTGTTATACTGTTATTAGGCCAGCTAGCATATCTCCCCATGTGAAGACCCTAAATGTATTTAGTTAAGATGCATACATACAGTGATATGAAAAAGTATTTTCCCGTTCCAGATTTCCTGTTTTTTTGCATGTTTGTCACACTTAAATATTTAGGATTATCAAACAAATTTAAATATTAGACAAACATAACACAAGTAAACACAAAATGTAGTTTCTTAAATTCAGCCGTTCATAAGTGGACTGGCTGGTGCGTTTTGGGTCATCGTCCTGCTGCAGAACCCAAGTGCGCTTTACTTTGAGGTCATGAACAGGTGGCCGGACATTCTCCTTCAGGATGTTTTGATAGACCGCAGAATTCTCTGTGTACCACAGCAAGTCTTCAGGTCCTGAGGCAGCAAAACAGCCCCAGACCATCACACTACCACCACCAAATTTTACTCTTGGTATGATGTTCCTTTTCTGAAATGCTGTGTTACTTTTATGTCAGATCTAACGGGACACACACCTTCTAAAAAGTTAAACTTTTGTCTCATCAGTCCACAGAGTATTTTCCCAAAAATCTTGAGGATCATCAAGATGTTTTCTGGTAAAATTGAGACTTGATGTTCCTTTTGCTCCGCGGTGCTTTTCATATTAAAACTCTGCCATGCAGGCCATTTTTTTCCGTCTTTCTTATGGTGGAGTTGTGACACTGACCTTAACTGAGGCAAGTGAGGCCTGCAGTTCTTTAGGTGTTGTTCTGGGGTCTTTTGTGACCTCCTGGATGAGTCATCAATGTGCTCTTAGGGTAATTTAGGTCGGCCGGTCACTCCTTGGAAGGTTCAAAACTGTTCCGTCCTTTTGCCATTTGTGGATAATGGCTCTTATTGTTGGCTGGAGTCCCACAGCTTTAGAAATGCTTTATAACCTTTTCGAGACTGAGAGATGTGTCTGATTTGCTCCTGAATTTCCTTGGACCGTGGCATCAACTCTGGCTTTTGAGGATCTTTTGGTCTACTCCACTTTGTCAGGCAGGTCCTATTTAAGTGATTTCTTAATTGAGAACAGATGTGGCAGCAATCAGGCCTGGATGTGGCCACAGAAATTCAACATGGATATCACATCCAAAGATGTGATATGCCACGGTTAATTTATGTTATAACAGGGGGGTCCAATCCCTTTTTCACACAGGTCGATTTATGTTTGGATTATTTTTGGATTCCCCCCCCCTTAATAATAAATGCCATCATTTAGAAACTACATTTTGTGTTTACGTGTGTTATCTTTGTCTAATATTTAGATTTGTTTAATTATCTGAAACATTTGAGTGTGACAAACAGACAAAAACATAGGAAATCGGGAAGGGGGCATTCAAGACATTAATATCTTTTGTGCTAGTTAGCAAGCTGGCAAATTGACTAAAGCAATAGGCCTACAGATTTTACACTGCCGCAAACTGCCACTACAGCATGGCACTACAATTCTGAAATTCCTGGGGATAACCCTAAAATGGGCGTTTTTCTAGTAATGCGTAGGCATGCCAATATAAACAACTGTCTTAAACATTGTTGTGATAAATTTTTGAAACAACTGATTTTGCAGCAACTATGAGGAGAAAAAAATCCATATTAATACCTTTAATGATTCAAAGTATGTGGTCGAGGTGCAATTGTCATTTGTTCTACTGGGGTATCAAAGTCTTCTTGTCAAAATCTAAAAACAGTGACCATCTTATCAGACAACAGTATGTTGACACAACTGTATTAAAGTTTAATGATGTTTGGAAGTTATATAGTGATTTCAGACAGTACTATGAACCTCCCTTCTGCATACATGCTAAAGTGTGTACTGTATCAAAACCAGACCTGAAATCTGTTCCTACTGAGACACTGATTGCATTTGGAAGTATACAGGATAGGTGTGGAAGTTTTCTAGACTTTGCGTGTTTCTCATGAATCACGAACAGCATTATCATCCACTATGATTTACCAGAAAAGAGAATCCAAACATCTCTGAAGGTAGGGCTGCATTTTGTTGTGGCTGAGCAGTGTCATTGTTAGAATCGTTATTTTACAGTTCTCGGTGTGTTGTAGTTTAATTCAGAAGTCTTTTTTATATAATGAATTATATATTATATCTGTGTGTTTTTCTGCTGGATACAGTTATGTTGATGTGGGTCATTTACACATTTTACACTAGATTTTGATTTTGTCTGTTCACACCAACAAAAAGACTAAACACCAAAGTTTTTTTCTAGGATATGTTCCAAAAACCTGTATCTGTATGTTTCGTGTGAGAAACATCTGCATAATGGACACTTTAAAATATTTAAGTTATATTCATATTGCTTTATTTTGAGATGTAAAAGCTTCAACTTGAAAGGTGAAAAGGTCACATACATTTAAAGGAACATTACAACTCTGACATTTTGTAGCTCTTGTTTCTTGATCTTCTGCTGTTTCCATCTCTGGGCATCAACAGGATGCTGAAAGTCATTAAACTGCTTTCTATTTAGGACACAAAAATCCTATTCATATGATACAGAAAATGTCTCATTTAAAGGACTACATGGATTTCCCCCCTGTTTAATATCATTTTCTGACTGTTTTTTTACTGTATTTTTTGTTCACTTGAAAACATAAAATTCATTTTTAATAAGTCACTTTGGAATCGTTCTTTAGTGTCGTCACTCTTCAGTCTTTTTTGTGTCTTTTCTTATCTTTTTCTGCAATCAGCAATATTTTTGCCTTTCACGCTGCTATTTGGTTCATTAACATACAGTACAGACACAGAAAAAGCAAAAAAACACATTAAACAAAGATATACAGAGACATACAAGACAGACAGACTAAGTGAACACAGCATGTTGCCCAAAGATAGCTTGGAGCAGCCAGGGACAGAGCCACCTCCCCATTAGTACATGACCTGCTCTACTACAGCCTTCCCACCTGAGAAAACTAAAACTGGAATTGAATTAAAGAATTGATAGGAAGACATAATTTCTGGTGCCAAGACTGTGTTTGGAGAACTCTAAACATGGCATTAAATCTGCAAAATCCCTTGCCAACTAGATAAAGCAAAAATAGTGAAAATGTAACCAGACAAATTACATAAAGTGGAAATTCTGATAAGCGATTCTACACAAATTTTAATTAAGTTCATCCTTCCTAGGCTGGATCAAAACATTATACAGTTCTTTATAGCATCAATCCTACTGCACTTTATATGCATATGAAACAAAAAATTCTCAATTTGAGTGCATTGACTCTTTATAAATATTTGTAAATATTATACATTTTATAGGTTTTATTTTTTTGCTTTTTTGTACAGAATTTTTTCTTATTCATTTATTTTTTCTGCTATATCTTTAATTCGCTTTTCCTTGCTGCTATAATGTGAATTTCCCAAAGTGAAATAACGTCTATGTCCTGTTCCTCCTTGTGAAGCTTTCTGAAGGAGTCACGTGAAGGACAGTCTTGGATTCCACGCAAATGATTTCAAAGTTGCAGCCCTGCTTTTCCCACTGCTCTCTGCACTTCTTGTAAAATAAAAGCTTTAAAAATTTCTGATATATACAGTGGAAATACAATTTACTAATTACAAGAGAAAGCTGGAGTGGATACTCCAGCAGAACAACATGAGAGATGTGGAGTGGCAAGAAGACAATCACTGGATTCCTGCCATCCAACAGCAGAAGATCTGAGGGTGGTGAGGACAGAGCCAGTCTTTAACAGATTCAACACTGCAGTTAATGCTCAGCCCCCTGCTGACTTACCTCTAGTCTGCCTACAATCCAAAGCAATGCCACTATAGCCTCTCTTATATTAGCCCTGTCACCCCAGGGCTGTGGTCAAAGCCTTGCCAGCTGGCAAGGATCCTCATCAGGCTGTTCAACCTCTCCCTGACTCATGCCAGGGTTCCCACCTGTCTGAAGGCCTCCTCCATCATAACCTGCGATTCATTTCAAGCTATGCATGTCTTCCACAGTGTCTTTTATCCTGTCTTTCTCCCATCACCTCCAACTGACTGTGGGAGATGGCGAACCCTCCTTAAAATCTGTTCTGCCAGAGCTTTCTTCCTGTTAAAAGGGAGTTTTTCCTTCACACTGTCACCAAATGCTTGCTCCAAGAGGGTTGTTTGATGGGATTTCTCTCTATTATTGTAGGGCCTTTACCTTATAATGTAAAGCACCTTGAGGCAACTGTTGTTGTGATGCTATATAAATCAAACTGAACGGAATATTCAGATAAAACAAAAACACATTAGACAATTACAGTATTACATATTGAATTTATTCATGTACATATTCTTAAACTGCCCATAAACCTTTATTTTTAACTGTATTTGTTTCAAACATCACATTTATTCAGTTTTAACATCATTCAATTTCATCATCTACACTTCAGTTTATTATAATACAACTGCTGCATCAATCCAAAGACAGTAAAGAAACACAGAAGGGATGAGAAGATAGCTCAGTGACTCACAGTGTGCATGTATCTTTGGGGAAGATACTGAACCCAAATCCACTGCATCTGTGAGAGAGTGTGTGAGTGCTTATTTTTTTAAAGTCCAATTCAAAATGCTCTCAGACTCTGGGCTACTATGTGATGCTAGAACAAATTCAGTGTGCACTGGCAGAGTTCCCAAATCTCTGGAATGATCAAAATGTGTTACTCCGAATAAATGTGTATTGATTTGCAGTGCCCTTCCCCTCCAGAGTGTTAAGGTGAACTAAAACTACAAAACAATTAGCATCATCTGATTTTTATCTCGATGAATCCATTTTAATTAAATCTATTTTACCAAAAATAAAAGTAAAACAGAAAGTGTAAGTGAAAGTATGTCTAATTTCTGGTTCAAAGCCCCTAAAAAACTTTGTCTGCACCAGTATTTCTTTATAATATATATTCATGACTGCACACAAAAACTGCTGTTACAAACATCTCTTTCACTTGTCCTTATCAGGGTCACAGGTTTAGAGCCTATCCCAGCTACCACAGGCGCAACAGGCACGGGACACCCAGGAAAGGAAATACAGACAGGATAAGACCCACTAACTGCAGGCCTTCATCCTGTGAGAGGAAGAGAAAACCTTCTTGCTGCGAGGCACGAAGGTTGAGGTTGAGTGCATCAGTTATTATATATGACAAATATAATTTTTGCCTTCAGACACGCTTCACCTGTCCATCAGTCCGCCCAGCATATACAGTCTTTCCTATGATTAAAAGGAAATGACAATTTTCATTTGCAGTTTTTCTTTAAATTTGGACAGAAAGTCAGGTAGTGACAAACCCATTGATGTCTTATTTTGCTTTCCAAAAGCTGCCTTCAACAACATTCAGATCAGAAACCATCACAGTATAAATACTTCTTAGAATAAGACAAGTCAGACAGGGACTCTGTCCCAGCAATGAAATGTAGTCCTGCTACACCTTCTTGGGTACATTAGTGATGATAGGTTTGGGGCGGATCTTAAAAATCAGTTTTGTTTTAATGAGTGCGGACACAGAATAAGATGTGGAAGCAGAGCCTTGTTGGTCTGTTTCCATTGCTTCCTGTGTTATTTCATCGTTGTTACTGCTGCGACTGCCCTGTGAATGGCCCGAGTGCTTGGTGAGAACAGCAAAGGGTTTCTCCAGTTTGACCTGCTTCCCGTAGATAATGTGATGTCCTACAATCAGCACTGGCACCCCCTGGTGGATGGGAAACAAAATAATAATACAGTGGCAGTGGATTCTCAGCTTTCCCCCAACACGATGACCATTTACAAGAACAACTTAAGTACCACTTTTTCTTTGATCTGATGATTTGGTTATTTATTGACACAATAGGACTCATGGGTTCATTTTTGGAAGTCTGCTGTCTTAGCCCTAAAAAGGGGTATCAAACAGACGCTTAAGTGCCAAGTTGATGGCAGTCTTGTGCAGCCACAGGCACAGCCCAACTGAGACAAGTGGAAGCGAACATTGTTGTTACTTCAGTTGTACATGTGGATATTATCATCAAGTATGCTGACTTCACGAGTCTGTGTGGCTGGTATGACCATGGTGTTTATGCTGGGAATGGAAAATTCCTAAGCATCTCATTTTCTCTCACCAGCCATTTTTGCACTGATGTGACTGCATTTTGAAACTGAATTAAATTAATCAAAGTACACAGATGTTTTCGACATAACATAGCAGCTGTTTCTTCACATTCTGTTAACATTGTTAGCTAAGTTTGGAAGCCTGTAAACTATTTGCATTTCTTTAATTAATCTTTGTATTATCCAAAACTTGCATTTGGGTGACACAATGACAACTCAAAACAAAACTGAAAATGAAAAAATTCAGAAAACAGAGCTTTTCATGTCAGTCTGTATTTTGTACCAATACTGTCCCATTTCATAAATAAACTTGCTTTATTACTACCTAAAGTACTTTCTTCTGTGTGAGATTGTGCTATTCTCGTATAAACTTAATTTTAATTGATTTATAAACACTGCTATTATTTTTGAGGGAAATGATGCTGGATTTTAGTAAATACATAAATGATCTTTTTTGGGGGGCTATACTGTGTTTTTCAGCATGTTGTGTACCTCTTTGGTATACAGTAGATCTCCCATCACATTTCCTGCCAGACCAGAGTTGTGTCTAGACACCATCTCCCCCTGTAATTCCACCACCAGCCACTCGGGGGGACTGCTGCCATCCGGGCTGCCTCTACAAGAGCAGATGCATATCAACAGCCTATAAAGCAGTCATACTCAGCCTGTTTAATTCGGTAGATAAAAGAGCATATGTTTTTAATTAACATAAAAAAACATCAGATTAAAAGTTATATTTCAAGAGCAATACAACATCCTTTCAAAGTTGCGTTTAATAATGGCAATGCTGGACAATTAAGCAAAACTTTCTGATAAAATCCTGCCACCTTGTGGTGAAAGATTTCAATACATTTTACAGTTATAATTTTCTATAATAAAAAGGTACCCCTAAAAACTTAATTGTAAAAAAACAAACATTCAAGTGTCAATATATTCTAAAAAGAAAAAATATAAATATTCACACTGTTAGCTCAGGCACACACCACTCACATGTACGAAACAGATTCAACTTTAGACTTAAACCTTGACTTCCCTCATTCTCCTACAAACTTATTGAGCTAAAACAAGTATTTTATCTCCGCATGTATAATGTGATAGCAATACTGTATAATGATATAAATTTCAAAAAACCTAAATTTGTTAAAATGAAAAAAAAAAACCATCTCATCCTCTGATGAATGCACCTGTCCAAGCCTACACAGGGATGTCTAACATTTCTCTCCCTCTCTGTCAGCATCATGGCAAAACCACAGGAGGATTTACTAGAGCTTGAATACCCAGGTCCTGAGTTTTTAAGAATAGAATAGAATTCAACTTTATTGTCATTGCACATGTCACAGGTACAGGGCAACGAAATGCAGTTTGCATCCATCCAGAAGTGCTTTAGTGATATAGATATATTACAATATATATTAGCAATAGTATAGATATGTAAGTATATTACAGAAATGGGTATATTATGGTATGTTATAATGTACACGGTATGAAGTATGTTGTGAATATTCTATAACTATAAGTATGTACAGGCTGTAGTGAGTACAAGCTATGTACAGGCTATGAACAGGATATAAATATGAAATGAGCCTTTTCTTACTTTTAACAAACCAAACATTAAGCCTTTCAATGGTCTAGTCTTTGTCAGAAGTGTTGCTGGACCATAAATCCCGCTTTAAATTTAAGTATCAATTCTACTCTCCTCTTAAAATGTGGCTAATGACACTATAGTTGTTCCGATCATTAGCGTGAACTTGCCTTGAGTATTTCCCCCATAAACATATATTTGGCACTAAGTAATGGAAAGATAAAGTTCGCTCATCAGTTTTACCTGATCATTATTTGAACCATCCTCCCGTCAATAACGATTGGCAATAACACTAACTAATTTGCTACCGATGTAGCGCTTCAGCTGCAGTAACAAACCAGCACTCTTCACTCAGTTCGTATTCCGACAGTATTTCCCGCCCACTGGGAGCGTTTCTTCTTCGTCGTCTTCTTCGGCGCTTGACATCAACAACCAGGTGTATTACCGCCACCTACTGAACTGAAGTAACAAGACTCCGGGATGTAATCTACAGCACACGATGGGAGATTCCCATTCCACAAAGAATCCATGCACCAATTACCAACTCCCTGATACTTGGAGCAGTTGAATGAACCATTCCAATAAATCCATATGCAACTACTATCCACTACATTTTATCCAAGCCGTTGTCCGTACTGTCGACGTGATGACGTATGTCCATGAATCCACTACCGGTTCAAAGGGTAACAACGTGGGTCCTGGCGTGTCTCAGTTGGTGTTCAAGATAGTCTGGCGACAGCGAAGAGGCACAGTTGGTAACTTATGTTTTACATTAATAATTAATGCAACTGAATTACACGACGTGTTTGTAATGAGCTGTAAGGTGTTACACTTTGCTAACGAGTAGGTTGTCGCAGTGCTTCTTATATTAGCACACAGAGCGAGCACTTTTTTTTAACCTAGATGTGTGAATTTTGTGATATTTGTTTGATTAATATATTCAGCGCAGCGTGTGAGAGATTTTTAACTCGTTTACTCATTATGTACCTCAGGTGGCAGACCGGTGTTACAGTTCACATTAACTGGTTATGTTTATCCACATGTCAGCCCGTTGTAACGAACAAAGTAGAACACCTCAGGCTCCCCCACACCTGGGGGGCTGAGATGTTATAAGAGAAAGAGGGAGTCTAAGACGCGTTTTGACACACAGACAAACAAGCACACACAGACACAAACATACATTCCCACCCTCATGCACGCATATATAAACACTCACCCAACATGGAGACACAGAAATGGACGCCGTACACACACACACACACACACACTGCCCATACAAACTCTGAAGTGCTCCGGAAAAGACCCTAGGCCTCACTCCGTCCACTCATATGTGGTGTTGATGCAAAAGCCTGTTTTTCCTCCCTCGCTTTTTCTTGAACGCGCTAACTCCGGAGTTCGAGGTATCTGGACTGGGCATTCAACATTCCCCGAGTTAGGGTCCGCAGCAAGATGGTGTAGGGAGCAGATGTATTGTAAACAACTCCACATAGCAGGATCCCGATTCACCGGAAGTTGTCACCCTCTCACAAAGCTCCTTTCTGATGGTCTTGTATCTCATCAGAGCTCATCTGACAGCTGTTTTGTCTCATCTATGGTGTGCCATCACCATAGATGAGACAAAACTCATGTTGAGATGTGCCACAAGGGGGCATAGCCAGTCTGTGGGAGCCAGAATTTTGACTGGGCTTCAAGGCATCAAATAGTTATTTCACTTAATCATGTACAAAAAATTTTATCATTTGTATCTATCTGGGTTTTTTTCCTGAACTTTTGGATGATTTTTTTTTTATCTCCATTACAGTGAAAAGACTGCTCATTTCTGTATATTTTATGAACTGGAGATGGCGAACTTTTCATTTTATTGCTTTGATACAAGGTCTTAATCTTGTCAAACTTTGTGATATACTGGCAGGCAGAGGTGACTGCTCGTGGAAAAGGACGAAGCGTTTTATATGATAAAACTGCAAATTGTAAGAAACGTCTTTATGTATTCTAGGTACATTTTCAGATCGGCAGTAAGTGTTTTCAAAAAATAATTTGGGCTTTTTGGAATTGTCAATTTCTTACTAAGAAAAACCTTCAATGAACTTCAAAATGCCATTAAAGGTTGTTTTATGAGTATTGTTTTGCTTCTTTTGCCCAGCTGTCACTGAAATGAGACTACCTTTTTTCCTGTTTTCTAGTCAATAATGGGCGAGTTTAAAGTACACCGAGTCCGCTTCTTCGACTACATGCCGAGTGCTATCCGGACCATGGCGTTCAACAGTCAAACTGAGCGGCTGGCTGTGGCCCGGGCTGATGGCGCAGTAGAAATCTTCAACTTCAATGACAATTTCTTCCAAGAAAAGGTAATGCCATCAGATAGATGACATTACTGCATGGTTTAAATGCACTAAGTATTCATTCACACATCCAAATCATCCATTGGAACACCCGAGTTGGCTACAAGTATATAAAATCAAGCAGCTAGGTATGCAGACTGCTTCTACAATCATTTGTGAAAGAATGGATCAATTTCAAAAGCTCAGTGAACTCCAGCATTGTACTGTGAGAAGATGCCACCAGTGCAACAAGCTCAGTTGTGAAATTACCTCTCTACTAACCATTCCACAGTCCACTGTTAGTAGTACTGTAAACAGGAACTCAGCCATAAAATGGTACGATGTGTAAAATCACAGAGTGAGATCAGGTGCTGAGGTGCATAGTCTGCAGAAGTCTCCAACTTTCTGCAGGTTCATTTGTTACAAACTTCATATGGCCTCCAGAACAATGCATAGAGAGATTCATAGAATGTGTTTCCACGACCAAGCAACTGCATCCAACCCTTACATCACCAAGCGTCACATACAGGTGGTGTAAGCACGCCACCACTGGTTCCTAGAGTAGTGGAAACATGTTTTCTTGAGTAATGGAGCGTTTTTCCATCTGGCAATCCAATGGATGAGTCTGGGTTTGGAGGTTGCTAGGAGAAGAGTACTTGTATGATTGTGTTGTGCCAAGTGGTACGTTTGGTGGTCTGGGGTTGTTTTTCAGGGGTTGGGCTTGGTCCCATAGTTCCAGTGAAAGAAACCCTAAACCCTTCAGCATGCTCACACATTTTTGGCAATTTCATGCTCCCAACTTTGTGGGAACAGTTTGGGGATGGTCCCTTCCTGTTCCAACATGACTGCACACCAGTGCACAAAACAAAGTCCATATAGACATGAACAGTTTGGCATGGAAGAACTTGACTGACCTGCACAGAGTCCTAATCTCAACCCAACAGAACATCTTTGGGATGGGGGTGAAAAAGGCCCGACAGAGTCTCTACCACCTCAGACGCTTGAGAGACTTCCAACTGCCCTCCAAGGTGCTCAGGAACTTTTACTCCTGCACCATAGAGAGCATCCTGGCGGGAAACATCTTAACCTGGTTCGGGAACAGCACCATGCAGGACAGACGAGCTCTACAGAGGATTGTGCGGTCAGCTGAGCGCACCATCCGCTCCGAGCTCCCTGACCTGCACTCAATCTACAGCAGGTGGTGCTGGACCAAGGCCAGGAAGATCATGAAGGACCTCAGCCATCCCAACAACAGACTGTTCTCTCTGTTGAGGTCAGGAAAGCGATTCCGCTCCCTGAAGACCAACACAGAGAGACTGAGGAGGAGCTTCTTCCCGCAGGCGATACGGTCTCTCAATCACACCACCACACAGTACTGACCCACACATATGGTTCTTACACACACACTGGACTTTCTGGACTTTGGTTTTGCACAACACTGGTCACTATATTCTTCATTTCCGGTTAATACTTGTACAGCTGCTGTTATTGTGTATATATTTATTTATATTTAGATTTCTTCATACATTCTTATATAGTTCTATATTGTGTATTGTGTATTTTGTTGTACAGTTATTTTATTTTCAACTTTAATTTATATATTTATCTTTATCTTATTCTTCCCAGTTAAATTTACCCTTCATTCTAATTTGTGTTGTACAGTTATTTCATTTTAACCTTAATTTATATTTTATTCCTTCCTAGTTAAATTTACCCTTTTTAATTTTTCATATTTATTTCCTATCTTATTCATAGCCTTTTCCTTTTTGTTCTCTTTAGGTCACGAGCAGTTGTCCAAGCATTTCACTACATATCGTACTGTGTATGACTGTGTACGTGACAAATAAAATTTGAATTTGAATTTGAATTGGAGCGGAGACTGAGCCAGACCTCCTCATCCAACATTAGTGTCTGGACTCATAAATGTGTTTATGGAAGAATGATGAAACATTTCCATAAACACACTCCTAACCTGTGGAAAGCCTTCCCAGGGAGGATGATGCTGTCACAGCTGCAAAGGGTGGGCTGGCATCATATCGAACCCTATGGATTAAGAATGAGACGTCCATCAAATTCAAATGCGCGTGAAGGCAGATAAGTGATTACTTCAGCAGTATAGTGTAGTTTTGATAATGGCTGGAAGATTAATTGTAGGGAACCCTTCACTGCTCTGTATCACTTTTTGTCACACTCTTAAACCATAGTGTTGTTTTTTTGTGCAGTAATTTCCCTCATTATTGAAGGAGTCAAGGATGAAGCCAACAGAGACACTGGGTCTCCAACTCCTGCATCTGTACCAAATAGATCTAAAAATGCACATAGCACCTTAAAAAAATAAAAGGAGATAAACAAAAATACAATTCTGCTGTGTGTTAGTGTGTGAGAGAGAAGATGTCAGGAAGCTCCCACGACAAGTGGAGAGTGGCAGGCATGGGAACCCCCTCATCTCCAGTAACCATGTTAAAGAGCCTAGCCAGACACTCGAACTGCACAAAGAGACACATCCACCTCACCGTTTGAAGTGTGGATGATGGGTGGATGTTCAAGACCAAGGCTTCTGGTTACTGTCCAAATTTCTTTCTTTTTTTTTATTGCTAAAAGCCAATGAAAGTGGTTAAATGTAGCCACAGGCATGATGATCACTGCTGTGAGTGCGAGATGTGTCAGGTGCCAAAGCTCAGGGGTTTGCATTTTTCTACATTTTTTTCAAACCCCTCAATCGCATAATGGAGTTTTGTAAAAGTGGTCTTGAGGGTAATAATATGATGCTAAAATTATTATAAATTTTTGGTTTGGGTATTTTGTACTTTGCTTTTGTGTTGTGTCTGTTTCTGTAATGGCAGAAGGAAGGTAGATGATTCACGGCTGCAGACCAAATGAACCTAACCTCCACACTGGTTTTAATTTTCTCAGGTGATCCCAGGACAGGATGGCCGAGCTACTGAGGCTCTGTGTTGGGTGGGCCATCGACTGTTCAGTGCTGGTTTGAATGGAGAGATCATAGAGTATGACCTGGAGAACCTGAGGCCCCAGTATACTGTAGATGCATATGGAGGACCAATCTGGACCATCAGTAGCAACAGCCAGGGAACACAGCTGGCAGTGAGTGTAAACCTTCTGGATGTTATTTTACACTTCAGATATTTCCTGTGTCAGACTCATCAGGAAGTCTTGTTGATACATTAATCACAAGAAATGTTTTCTGGGTCAGGTTGGTTGTGAGGACGGGACTGTAAAGATATTTGCAATATTGGAGGAGAGGATCCAGTTTCAAAGAAACCTCAACAGACATAAAGGTAAGACGACAAACTAGTTCACAGGTCTTTTCTTTAAAGAGTCTACATTTCTGTCTTTAAAATGGCTACAAACGTTAGACAGTGAACAGTAGAACAGCTAATATTACTGCAGCTGCGATTGTCGTCTGTGTGTTGTATTGAAAACAGATCAACTGAACTTAAAATGGTGTCAGGCTGTGCTTTTGCATAATACAAATTTGTACCACAAATGGTGCATCGAGTTTTTTCTGACTCCAACTTGGAGTCTGCGCTCTGGAGAGACAGAGACAGCACCTATACTAATGAGAAGATGAGATCATTTGTGTTATTAACCACTGGATGACAAAACTGTCTTAAACAAATATTTGTGTTTGTGAACCCGCCTGATTCAGTTGTATTTGACCTCTTTAGGACGCATCATATCTTTGTGCTGGCATCCATCGAGTGCACAGATTGCTGCTGGAATGACTGACATGATCAAAATCTTTGATGCAGAGACGGGTATTTTCTCCTTGAGCTGCTTTGCACAATTAGCAGAAATACAATCAGTTAAAACTGAAATGGAGCATGAGAAGAGATGTGTGTTCTTTACTGATGTGATTGTGTTTGTGACTGCAGGGCATGCTACACGCAGACTGCTGGTGGACAGGGCTATGGGAGCATCAAAGAATAAAGAAGTGGTTGTTTGGAGTGTTGGTTATCTGTCCGACCACACCATCATCAGTGGTGATTCTGCAGGAAAGGTCCAGATCTGGAACGGACTCACAGGAACTCTGGTTAGAACTTACCTGGTCACCAAGTGGGATGTTCTGGTTCTGTCCGTTTCAAAGGTGAGATGATACACTCACTGCTGCAGCTAGCTATGGGTGCACACACCTGTAAAGTCACTGGTTATAAATGCTTCACAGGATGAGAGCAGTGTCATAGCTGGAACATCCGAGGGCACTGTCATCCAGTTCCAGTTCATCTCCTCAACCGTGGACCAGCATGATAAAGAGTGGGTCCGG